TAAAATCGAATGAAGTGGTTTGAGAGATTTGATGTTATTGGCACTGTATCAAAGGCACTACTTGTTATGTGTTCATATATATGTTCAGTGTCACTACCTCAAGGGACCAGGTTGTTTTTCGTGTTTGCTTTGAAACAGAGAGTAACAGAGAATATGCTGCTGGACAGAGAGGACGGAACTGAGATGCAGAAGTGGACGCAAGGAGTTTCTCTGTGGGTGGGGGAAGAAATTCAATTCCCCACAATAATATTGTGCTTGGACTGAATGATGGGATGAACAGTGTCATTGCATCAAGAGCAGAATAGAGCGCATTGTTCTTGGCTGAAGTGAGACTCAATCCTGGGGCAGAGGCAGCAGCTGTACAATCATTTCTCCATATCAATGAAAATCTGCTTCCCTTAAACAGGATACTTACGAGAAGGGAACACTCAGCTATGTGAAGCTTTGCTGTCCTCATCTGTCTGTTCCTGATGCTAATTGTGCCGTGCTCATTAACAGGCAAAGCTCAGAGATCAAGGACCTGGATCTCAAGACTGCGGTGGTAGTGGCGTTCAGAGCATTTACAGATGTTTGTGGAGAAGGTTTTGTCCTCAAAATGAGGGCATCAGTGGTACAACCTTGCTCTGATATCACACAGTGGCACATCCAGCCTGAGCACTGCCATGGTCAAAAAAGAAAGGAAGNAACAAACAAACAAACAAGCAGAGAATCAACATTTTTATAGTGTGTGTAACATGGAAACACAAGCCTTCACATTAATACCATCACAAGTAATATTCGTTGATCCCTAGACAAAAGCAAGTCACTTCCACACAACAAAGTCCCACAACTACACATTGGATGAATGACCCATTGTATATAATAATCTTTGCGTGTGATATAGCACCTTATTAAGTCTTCAAGACACCTCAAAGTGCTCCACAGGATATACTGCAAAGTGATGTCCCTGTGTATTTTGTGTATGTATTTCTATGGTCATCTAGGTGTCTGACATGTGGAAACCCATCACCAAGCTTAAGGGTATCCAATCTAGATCCACCTACACATGGAACTTTCCCTGTCAGGAATAGAATGGCCACTTGCTGGAGGGACACACAGTGCGTAATTCTAGAGAGTATGAGGAGCAGGTTGGGAAGACCCAAGGCTTGGGGACCCCAGAGTGTGCGTTGGGGTAACTGCTGGCGTCTAACCAGCTAAAAAAAAAAGCCTAGCCATCAAAAGCACTTTCTGGCAAGCTTTTTCACTGCTTGTCCACGTCTTGATGGCAGGACAAGATGCTGTGCTAAATGCAAGGATTATTATTCATATTATTATTAAATTGGACCACAAAATGTGTGCCATATAAATAAATGCAAATAAAATTTAGAACTTGTCTCCTATTTCCAATTGCATTGAGAACCTCCGTTTAGAACAGAATAGGATCATCAGCCCCCAGTCAGAGGGACGCGCAGGGACAGTGTGAGGGACTTTCATGAATGAAGCAAAGGGTCTGACAGGCCGACCACGGAATGAGCACAGAGGACAGGAATTTGAACACATCGTGGAAAAATCTTTCCTGCTGATGGGTCGGTGGGTCCTGGCCAGAGTTGGCTCTCCTGTGGAGAGGAGGCAGCGCATACACAGCACATTCTGTTTGTCAGCGCTGCGCTGTGAGCATCGCTCAATGGCTCGTCTGTTCTGTCAGTTCACACACACCTCACAGAGCCCGTGTTTGCTGTGGCCGCTCAGTGCCAGAACAACACTTCCTCTGCTCACACACAGCCTCCAGCACACACCCAGATCAAACCACGCGCTCCAGCAAATCACCGCCCGGGACAGTTCACAGGGAACAAGAAGGTCTGAAAAGAAAGTCTCTTTGACATCAGCTCAGACAGGCGGTGTTTGGAGTGAGACAGCGATGCCTTTACCCCGTACACAGAACTTACAGTTTGTTAGATCTGGTAGCTCAGGAGAAAAAGGCTTAACTCCTATTGAGCTCCAGCACCAACCAGATCAGCAGCGAGCAATCAGCACAGCTGGGAGGTGCCTGAGGGTATAAATGACAGGAATTCTGGACTTTCTTATCCAATTCGAGCAAGAGTTTCAAGGTCTGAATTTTACTCAAATTGCGAAGTGTTTGTAACCCGTGAGGAAGCTGGTCTGGGAGTGCAATCAGGTTGCCTCAGTCTCACTGTAAACAATCGCCCAATTCCAAACCGGTATGAAATACTTGAAACACTGCCTGAGAGAATCTGGCTCCTGAATTACTAAAAGATCAGAATTTTACATTCCCCTCGGACCAGACTGAAGGCGGCCCCTCACTCACTGCTGGCTCTCATTATCCTGCAAAAAATTCCGAGCTATATTTCCAGGAAAATAATTCACTGAAACCAGAAATTCTGGACTGTGGATTGCAACAATCAGGAGCTCTGACAGAACTATTATTATCATTAACTACAAAATGCCCCCTACCCCCCTCCCCTGTATCGACAAAGCCCCGGGTCCCTCCCCTGGAATTCCTGCTCGGGCTAAACCAGGAAGAGGACTTACAGACAGACTCTTCAGGAAACATTGGAGCAATGGGAAAGGTGGAGGCATTTCATCTGTGTAAGAAATACCTGGCGGGTTAAGGTCATGGTGTGATGCTCATCATTAATCAATGAGAAAAAGGATAAGCATTTTGACTAAGATCAAGTGTAGTGTCTGTTCTTATCAGTTACTCCTCTGGCTAGCACCTGCCACAAACATTCTCCGGTTGAGATTTATTTGTGAGCAATTACCAGAATCTGACCCAGAACTGCACATGGGGAAGATTGAGCTCCTGGCTGCAGCTGTGCTGTCCACTCTCTGCTGGTTGGGGTCGGTATTACAGCACTTCCCACCTGAGGAGTGAGATCGACCCTCACAAACTCACTGAGATCTGCCCTCACACACTCACACACATCCACTGAGATCGACCCTCACACACACGCATACACTGAGATCTGCCCTCACCCACACACATACACTGAGATCTGCCCTCACACACACACTGAGATCTGCCCTCACACACTCACACACACATCCACTGAGATCTACCCTCACACACACACACAAACTGAGATCTGCCGTCACCCACTCACACACATACACTGAAATCTACCCTCACACATACACTGAGCTCTGCCCTCACAGAGGAGAGAGAGACACTGGAATCAGAGCTCACTTGGTCACAATGCTCAGGCCTGAGGTTTTTTTTGATAGTCAAAAGGGAGACATTATTTCCACTGGTCTGTGAGTCAATGAATAAAGGGAATCAATTCAATTAGACAGCAATTTAATAAAATAAATAGTAAATGAGCAGGTGGGGAGTTTAAAGGATTTTTATTTTCATATACACAGTGGTTAGGATGAGTTGCTGGGAGCTGTGGTTGAGGTAGAATTCATACTCGCTTTCCAAAGGGAACTAGAAAGATATCTGTAAAGAAAAAAACTACAAAAGTATGAGGAAAAGGCAGTTAAATGTTACTGAAAGGATTGCTCTTTAAAAGAGCCAGCAAACACACAATGGCCTCCTTCTGTGCTGTAAATTTCTATGGTTCTCACTGACCCCAACTCGCCCGTATCCCTCCTCCGCTGCTGGCAGGTGCTGACGATTGACACTGTGGCCTCACCAGCTCTGGGAATGTTGGCTGGAAACAGTGAGTGAGGGAATGAGCAAGGAAATGAATGAACAAGAGTCTACGAAACCCCCTAACAACAACAACAACAACAAATTGCATTTATATAGCGTCTCTGAGAGCTTGAAACCCAGTAACCAGCCCACACCAGCTCGCTTCTCCTGGTCTCTGATGTGATTGATGTGGAGTGCTGCCTGCTGCTTGTCTTTGGTTTGTGATCTGTAAATACTTTTAATTAGTGAAAACTTTGATGGGAGAAGCCAATGGAGGTAATTAATTGTTTAAATCATGGGTGAAGATTCTAATAATATATTATACATATATTACATATATGAAGATCAGGCCATCAGTTGGCATTGGCATAACTTACTTGATTCATAATATTAATAAGCCTTGCATTTGGTATATCACTTTATCACATTTTCCAAAGCATCTCAGTGACATACTGCTATTGATAAACATCCACTTGGATCTTAAAAGAGACAACACTGGCTGGTCGCTCCTGCTCAGAATCCATCAATTTATTACAGAAGTAGGACAGTGTGTGGTGTGCGACACTCACGGCTGCTGAATGATATAATATTCACATAGACATTAACTTTATACAGGAATAATAAATAATAAATCCCTGCATTTGTTACAAACCCTTATCAAGTCAAAATGTCCCAAAGTGCTTCACAGAGTTCTTCTGTAAAATGTGACTGTATTTTGTAACAGCCAATTTGTATGCAGCAAAAGTCCCACACTCTGTTCATGAGGATACCAGAGATGCAAGGATAGAGCTGTGAGGAGAAGCTTCTTGTCATTCGGAGCAAGTTTGCAAGGTGATATTATCACGGGCACAGGGCTTGAAAGATTTAAGTTGAAAAACTCTTTGCTGATATATCAGGGGCGGAGAGTTAGAGCAGTCAGAGAGGGAGATGATTAGAGAGTTTGGGGAAAGAAGGGTATTGTATAAGATATAAATGTTGGTGGAACTTTCACGAAGGGTTGTTTGTGTCTTTGCTCTGATTGTGGGCAGCCTGAGACTGGATCTGTTGCGCTTACTCTCTTTGTTGCACAGGGCACGACTGCCCTCTAATGGAATAATCCTACATAACCATGATTGCAAAGCAAAGGGATGTTTTAAAGCAAAACTCAGGTTTCAAATAAAACAACAACAAACTATGTTTGTATAGCACGGGAAGAGGGATGGAGGAGTTAAGGGTGATGGTCCGAGATGTTTGTCGATGACGTTGATGTCCGAGACGTTGAGGCTCCGGGTAATCACCAGATCAAGAGCGTTAGTTGATTCTTTGTCAAATAGTTAGTTGTCAAAACAGTGTGATGCAGTAATAAATAAGGCAAACAGGATGCTGGCTATATTGCTAAATCAATTCAGTTTATAGATGTCATTTTTAGGCTGTACAATGGTCTAGTCAGACCACACCATGAGTACTGCACACAACTCTGGCCACCGTAGCGTGAGGCCTTAAAGGCAGAGCAGAGCAACGAGGATGATCCCAGTGTTATAAGAAACAGCTATGAGTAACGATTAGACACGCTAGGGTTCTTCATTTACACATGTGAAGCATGTGTGAGATACGAGTCCCACTCACACGTGAAACATTTGGGGGATCAGAGAGGCAGAATTTGGGGACTCAGGTGGCTGCTCTAACAGGAATTGGGGGAATGCTGATTTCAAAACGTTAAAATCTGATCAAATAATATTCACCATGGAGCCTGGTGATGAGACTCAGCACCTGAAACAGAAGAGACTGAGATTAGTATGTGGGACCCAATGAAGCACAATATCGAGATAGCTCCATGTCCTGGGATAGACACAAATATTATTCCTAGTCATTGATGTGATTACCTGAGTGTCCGGATTAGATGGTGATGTCAGAGGAAAATTTGCCTGTTTCTGGACTGAAAAGTCTGTCGTTGTCTCCTTCTGCAACATCAGACACGTAAATCAGCAGCTTTCCTCACTCACATACCCACCACCCATCAATGGGAGTGAATGTAGTAATAAAGACCATTTTGAGTTGTGGTGCACAGCACAGTAAAGCGACTGTCTATTTTATAGGTGAATACGGTAGCCAATTGTCACATAGCAATGTCTCACATACAGCCATGTTGCCCAGCAGATCTCCAGATAGAGAACTTTATCTGGGAAATTGTTATCCTAGAAACTGAAATTTACAGCGCAGAAGGAGGCCATTCAGCCCAACGATTTCTGCCTCTCAGAGAAAGATGTTCATTCAATCCCAGACCCTATGCCCAGATCCCTTCAAACTCCTATATCTGTCTGAATGATGAGACCTTCAGCAATGCAGTGACTCCCAGCACATATTAGAGTCTCGGCCTAAACTCCTGAGCTCAAAATCCCGACATGGGTCTTGATCAAAAAAGTAGCATTTATAAAGTATCTTGGGGTCAGACAGGGTAGAATTTTTGAGAAGCGGACGGGGACAGAGAAACAATAAGCTTGTACCTCACAGGCAATAATGCTATAAGCTTATATCCCCCTCGCTAAGGGTGGGGGGGGGACTGGAATATCCCCCTCGCTGGGGGCAGATGGATAGACCTGACCATGTATATGCTCCCCTGTGATGAGCTGTGATCTGGGAACCTTGACAATTTCATGATAAGCAACTTGCCTGATAACTGGAGCCCCAGGAGGTTGGCCGGCAGCTTCTGAGAACAAAATTAATCAAGTAAAATTACCCCAATATCAACAGAGAAGTCAACCTCAGGCACAGAGCATGAGCCTAGAAACAGCCCCTCACTGTGCTGTGCACCACAACAAGCAGGGTATCTGCATTCTGTCATATTGCTGCTCCACCTGAGTTCCGGGCCGCCAGCCCTAGGCCCTGCTTTTAGCCCGCTCCCCCACCACCGGCCCCCACCCCAGATTTCCCCCCAACCCACAGGCCCCCACCCGCCCCAACCTGCCAGGCTCCCGCCCCACCCTTCCAGGTCCCTCCCTCGGCCCGCAGGCCCTGCCTCCATAACCCCGAGGCACCCCACCCCCAAGGCATACGTTGTTGGAGAGTTTCTGTTCCAGCTCCGAAACCCGTCTCTTTAACTCTTCGTTTTCAGTTGCCAGAATCCGGTTCTGTGAATGTTACCAGCAATAATTAATACCTGATGAGTAATGACTAATAAATGATTAATGACTAACAATAATGCCCAGTTACTGGCTGCTGCTCCCAACAGGCAGTCCATGCAAATCAACGTTACATTTCTGCTGACCTCCCTGCTGCTTTGGACATAGTGGACCTTGCCAGGCTATGGGGAGAGCGTGGGGGAGTGGGATTGAATTGGAGGCTCTTTTCGAAGAACCGGCACAGTGGGTCCACACTCGTCTAGTTCAAATCAGACTTGATCGTTACCACTATTTCCTCCCCCCACCCAACACTTGCTTGCCCACCCTCCCACGCTTTCACCCCCCCCCCTCACCTTCTCCCTCCGCCCCCTCCCTCCATCCTACCATTTTCTGAAGATAATTGATTTTTCTCCCTGTGTCACTGCCGGCCAATGGAGCGCGGAGCATTTGAGTGTGAGCAGCACTGAAAGCCTCCCCGATCGTCTCAGTCACCTCGTCAACCTGCAACACAGCACATGTGCATCTCCATCCCTCACACACACCCCCTCACACCACCCCCCACACCCCTCCCCCACTCACACCCCACCTCACACACATCCCCTCCCTCACACACTCCCCGCATACACCCCCCTCACACACCCCCTCCCTCACACCACCACCCCCTTCACACGTTCCAGATGCTCTCGACTGAGCTCAGGACAGAGCAGTGATGGAGGCTGTGATTTCCTACTCTGTGTCACTCTCTGCTGCCCTGGACGTCGCTCCCTCTCAGCACCACTCACATGTTTCCCACCCTGGAAAACGTAGCACATGTGCCGTCCGGACTCGTGCTCCAGTGCCACGTAGCTAAATAGGCTTTTATCAAGTTCATCCAAAGTGCAAGAGGAGACGAGGCCAATGGGACTGTTGTATAAGACTTCCTGCTCAACAGAAATGGTTCAGACAGGATTACACTGAGACATCAGAGGACCATAGCACTTCACAAAACATTAAACGCGGGACAAATGCAGACTAAATGCAAGCTACGCAACAACTTGCATTTATAACGACCTTCATTCAGGACATCAAGGAAGTAGAAGGGGCAGGTGACCTTAGGCATGCTCAAAGAGATAAGTCTCAATGTGGTATTTAAAGATAAATAAACAGGGGACTAGATGGAGGGATCAAGGCAGGGAGTTCCAGAGGTTTGAGTGTTTCAGTTGGTAGCACTCTCACCTCAAAAGGTCATTGGATTTGAGGTCAGGATTTGAACTCACATAGTCTAAGATGACATTTCAGTGCTGGGGGTTTGTTTGGTGCACCTTAAAAATCCCATGAAGAAAATTTCTCCTGGTGTCCTGACCAGCACAGCGCTAAATAAAATTGGTCATTCGCTTTGTGGCTATTTGTGGGATATTGCTGTGTGCAATTGAGTGCCACATTTCACCTACAAATACACAGTCACTACACTTGACAGTAAATCCTATGACGCACGTCTTCCTGCTATGAAAGGTACCACACCAAACACAAGGATTATTTGGCTAAAGGCAGGTGCCAGATTCTCCCTGTGACCTTACTGGTGAGCCCCTGTAAGTTATATCCTGCTAACGGAGAACATGTATTTCCTATGCCTATCTCCACCCCAAAGTTGCCCAGATTAGTCACGATTCCTTCCTGTCATTCGACAGCAACCTCACGAGATGTTGCTGAGACAGCTCAGCGACTGTGGAGTACGTACCTTTGATATCGAGTCTAGGACACTGAGTGCATGGAGAGAAACCTGCAGCTCCACCGAGGGGGCGCCGGACTTCTCCTTGTTCCTGATTTTTATCCCCTGTGGGAAGAATATCCAAGTGAGACAGAGACACTGGCTTCTGCCTTAACCCTAACCCTTGTGTGAAGGAGACACAGAGTACAGGCTGTGAAGGTGGAATTCAATCGTTGATGGAAGAGCCTGTGATTGACTCTCTTTCTGGTGTTTCATTGCATGTTTTTGAGCTGTATCAGTGCCTGGTCTGGGAACAGCATCAAACATCTCGAGACATCTCGATGAAGTGATAAGATGCTATATCAAATGCAAGGATTATTATTGTCTGGCTTGGATTTGAGCTTAGTGCCAGTGGCTATAGGCCCGTTTAAACTTGTCATCAATTACACCTGATGTGCCTGATCACACTTACTTTACACTGAAGCATGTTTACGGTGTGCGGGTAAGGATTGGCCATGTGACCAGTCTCTTCGTGTCACTCACCGGAAGCCGTCCCCGCACTTTGGCGATTCGAGTTTGCAGCATCAGAGAATCGGATAAAGAGCTCAACTGGAACAGAGATAGAACGGCATTCACCTGCTGTGCACCAACTCACGCTCACACCTCCTCACACGACCCCGACCTCAGCCCACATTCAGGATCAGCAGCTAATTCACAACATATTTTTAAACAAATTTAATAAATTAATGAATGGACTGTGATTGTGGGTGTTTATCTCTACCTTCAGCACTCGTACAGCCTGGCTGACCGCTTCTGATGAGCTGGGGTCCTCCACCACAGTGCAACCGAGAAACTGCAATACAAATCAGCACAGAGTCATTCCCAACGGTCCTCATTACAATCTCACAGTAACTCACTGTCCCCATTGCAAGGATTATTATTGTTGTTATTATTACAGTCTCACAGTAACTCACTGTCCTCTTTACAGTCTCACAGTAACTCACTGTCCTCATTACAGTCTCAAGTATCTCACTTTCCCCATTACAGTCTCACAGTAAGTCACTGTCCCCATTACAGTTTCACAGTAATGACTAAAGCAAGTAGTAATGCAACTATCTCACACTGGCTGTAAATCCAAGTCATTAATATATACAATTTGGGAGATTATTGACCAAGATCAGGAGAAATTCTCTTCTTTTCGAGTAGTGCCATGGGATCTTTGACATCCACCTATAAAGGCAGATTTAACGCCTCGATTTAATGTCTCATCTGAAGGATGGCATCTCTGACGATGGAATGGAGCTAGCACTGCATTGGAATGTCGGCTGAGACGACATGAGTTCAAGTTCCCATGTGGGGCTTGAACTCAACCTTCTGACTCTGAGACGAGGGCGCTACCAAACGAGTCCGGCTGACGACATCTTACCCTTGATACGCAGTGACCTCAGTCTGTGAAGGAGTCCTTAATGAGGTACTTTGTCACATGTCTTTTGGAAGTCTAGAAATCCAACATCAAATGGTTTCCCACAGTAAATTTGGGCTGTTGCTTCCTCAAAAAAGTCGATGAGATTGGCTGTTTTTACACAAATAACCTTACACTTCCTGTCTGATGATTGACTACATTATTATGGTCAGGCTAACTGGTCTATACAGACTGAGTACCACCTCTTTGGTTTTATATTTTATTTACAAAACCGAGGATCTCACTAACATTCTTTGCAGCTTTGCTAAGCTGCCTGCCTTCCCACCATTAAGGGATTGATACACATTAACTCTACCCTCTGCTTCTCTTTTAAAATGTTACATTTTCTCTCTTCTTCCTCCCAAATATATCACCCAGTCCCTCCCTCCATCCTTTGCACACAGGGAAGGAAGAGGAAGTGACACCCTGTTGCAGTTGGGGAGAAGCCAGAGTCTCACCTGGACTGAGAAGCTGATGTAATCCTCAGAAGATTTGGAATAAACTGAAACAAAAGAAATAAAAGTTATCCCAGAGCTATTGGCCCAGACTTTCTCACTACGCTGAGATGGGACAGGTGGGGAAGGGGAGGAAAAGTTGGGAGAGGAGGGGCTACAGGTGGGAGGAGGGATCGGGATAGGTGTCTGGGGAGGGTGCAGGTGTGGGGGCGGCCATGCGTGGAGGCCTTTGGCTTGCGGTGGAGGCTGGTGTGTGATGGAGTTGGGGGGGGTGTCTGCCATGCCGGGAGGAGCCAAGGGGTTGGGGGGAACCGAGTGTTCTGAAATCCAGAGTTTAATAAGCAGATTCACTCCGTTGCAGACATGTCTGGCTGGAATAGATGGAAATCTCAGTCTGGTGGAGATTTGTAAGCCTGGTACCCGGCCGACCCAATCATAAATCTCTGTAAAATTCACACTTTTCCATTCCACTGGGTTTTTCTCTCTTTCTATTTTAACAATTAATCAAATGATACGGTAATCACATCACTTGATTGTTGCTGACTTGGACCAGATACATTTGCTGTCATGAATGTCCCAGCTGTTCAGCTTCACTTACATTGCGAGTAGGCATCCATGTTGAAGTTGTGATGACCGGAGAGGACAAGCAGCCAGACCTTTTAAGGAAGAAAGGTCAAAGATCAGGTGAGTTTGGCATGTTCTTTACTAATAGTTTTGAAATATTTTCGCTCTCCTGGAGGTGACGACATCCTGAACAACATCTCCTCACCCAATGTCTCCTCACACAATGCCATTCGCCTTGTCTGGGAGATTATCTCCCCATTGGGTCTGTGGGAAACTGATTGATATTTCCTTTTCTAGATCAGGACATTGGGCCCAGTTGTAGATCAGAGACTCAGCACAAAGTGGGACTGAGATCAGTAACTTGGAGGGGCAGGATGTGTGTATGTGTGTGGTGGAGGGAGTTTGTGTTGGGAACTGAACTTGTGTATGTGGGGGCAGGGCATAGGGTAAGGTACATTTTCCCCCCTTTTTCTGGATTCTCTGCACTAATCTCTTTAAGACAAGATATCTTATATCCTTACGTTTGATATAGCCTTATCACATCTTCGAGATGTCTCAAAGCGCTTCACAGGATATACTGTAAACTGAATTAACTATACTTTGTGGGCAAAACGTAGCAGCCAATTGTGCATAGCAGTGTCCCACAGCAGTTGTATTGACTCATCAATTTTTTTTAGGAATTATTACCCCCGAAAAAGCAATCCGCCAATCGATTAACAACTGGGTTCCTACTTACTGCTGGTAAACAGAGGCGTGTGGAGTAAGGAAACTTGCCCAGTGTTTCGCCCTGCCCGGGAATCAAACCCAGGTCTCTCGCTTGTGAGGCGAGTGCTTACATTTTACACACCTGACATTTTCACCAAACAAACAACCAGCCCGTGACCCCACAGGTGATGTGGGTCTCACTTAGAGCTCCCCCACACACCTGAGCTTTCTCCCCTCAAAGCTCCCTCCCACATTCCGCCTCAACCATGGATCAACCCCCCACTGCGAGCACCGAAATCCCACTAAAATCCTACACTTACCAGTGAACTGGAGTTGTTCCCTCACTTCACAAGGGATCGATTCCCTTCTCCTTTGGGTAGGTTTCCAGGATAGATCGACACCTCCCACCTCAGAGCAGTACCTGCTGGAATAAGACACGGTTACTGGGTGACTCATTACTTACCCAACCTCCCTATTAATCAATGTCAAAGATCACTTGAGTCCTTCATAACTTAACCCATTAAATGGTGCAGAATTGGGTGGTGGTGGGGGGAGGGAAATTTGTAATATATTCAGTTAGTGTGTTGACACATTATTTCCACAGTTTTTATATCCACCTGGGAACTAATCCAGTCCAGCAGACATTAGGGTCTCTATAGTAACAGCCTCTGCTCAGCTGTATTCTGTACGGAGAGATCAGCAAATAACCTGGGGATAGCAAAGGCTGATTCTCTCTGTTCATTTCCTCCTCTTTATCAGAAGTACAAAGTGCAGCAGAGCATTGGGAGCAGCAGATGCTTCACTCTCAATCTTGCACATTGCCACACTCACACAACGCTAGTACTTATTATTATTACTTTCCCAGCTCTGGGATTGGGGTACACACCATGACTCCACTTTTGTTGTCAGAGACAGTCTTAACTCACATGTGCCTTTCTGATGTTTGAGCCAAGGAATTGCCATTGCAACTGAGACATGTTTTTTGTCAGGAGATGAGCTGCAAACGAGAGCTGGTCTGACTTGTGAGCAGCGTCATAAAAATAAAACATAGATGACATAACAACACAAGCATAACATACTTTGGAACTCCTTACACAGATCACAAGGCTGTCTGGCTCACACCTTCACACTCAATGACCTGTACAGCTGTCAACTGTATACAGTGATGTCATGTCGCTGTGTGACAGAGCAGAGAGATAGTGATATCATCACATCTGGCATTTACAGCAGACACTCACACAGAAACACACAGACACTCACACAGAGACACTCACACAAACACTCACACAGAGACACACAGACACTCACACAGAAACACACAGACACTCACACAGAGACACTCACACAGACACTCACACAGAGACACACAGACACTCACACAGAGACACTCACACAGACACTCACACAGACACTCACACAGACACTCACACAGAGACACACAGACACTCACACAGAGACACTCACACACAGACATTCACACAGAGACACATAGACATTCACACAGAGACAGTCTTCACTCAGAATAACACTTCAGAGCTTTACAATGATGAGGATGCAGCACAAACAGAGGGGGAATGGAGAGGGTGAAAAGTGGGAGTTCTCTCTTCCCTCTCACACTCCGCCTCCCCTCTCTCAAACACTCTTCCCCCCCCCCCACCCCTCTCTCCTCTCTCACGCACTCTCTCCCTCTCACATTACTCTCTCACTCCGCCCCTCCCCCACATACACTCTCTATCCCCTTTCAGACTCTCTCTCAATCATCCTCTCAATTCCCCCCACCCTCTCTCTCTCTGTATCTTTCTCTCCCCATTTCCCCCACACTCTCTCCCCCTCTCCCTCAATCTCTGCTCTCCCCCTGCCCTCAAACCCTCTCTCTCCCCATCAGCCGCGCGGCCATCCCTGTCTGCAGTGGCAGGAGCCGGCGGATGCTAACCACCGCGGTCGGTAAGAGACGAAATGGTCTCGGGCCGGATAAAATCACCCGCTGGGCCACATGCGGCCCGCGGGCCGCCAGTCGAACCACGCTGATCTAAAGTGTCTGATCACAGCATAACCCGGGCCCCAATTTACAATAAAAGGGAACCAGCAAAGAGGAAAAAAGAAATCCTCAGCTGAGAGCAAAGCCCAGGAAAAGGCAGAGGAAAAGCTCGGTGACGAAACAGGAAAAGTGCCAGTTCTGAGCTGGAAAAGGGGGAGAAAGATATAAAGCTGCAGAGAGAGAGAGAGAGAGAGAGAACAGGAGAGAGCAGAGGAGGAGTGAGTGTGAACTCATACTTTCTATTCTGTAAGTTGCAAGTTTTATATGATTCTGTTTCTATATATTACACGTGTTTATATTATAGACATTTATACACTACTATAGACATTTGAAACAATAAGGACATTTTTGTTCAGGCAAAATACTCGATAAATAAGAAGGAAGCGACATAAGAGGGAATTGGTTCCAGCGCTGCCTCGTAAGCCAAGGACTGGGGTTGGATTCCCAGACGGGGAGAAACCTTCGGCGAATTTCCTTACTCCACAGTAAGTAGGAATATTCACTTTACAGTATATTCTGTGAAGGGTTTTGATAATATCTCCACGACGTGATAGGGCGCTGTATCAAATGTAAGGGCAATTACTGTTTAGACATTTTGTCTATTTTAGACATTTTATATATTTAACCGACCCCGTGTTATATAAATGTTGTGCTTTTTGTGGAGCGTGAGACAGGGTTGCGAACAGAATTAGAATCGCCCTGGTAGGTCTGTGAGGTCCATTCTCAGTCGCCTTCTCTAAGACTGAAGAGCTTGAGCTTATCTAATCGTTACTCACAGCTAATTCCTCAGGCACTGGGGATCATCCTCATTGCTCTGCATTGCTCCTGGAGAGAGCAGCCCCTTATGTCAGGGTGACCAGAACTGGGCAGGATTGAACTCAAATGATTTAGCAATATAGCCCATCGTCCTGTTTGCCTTCTTTATTGCTACCTCACACTGTTTTGACATCAAGAGGGGTTGAATCAACTAGCACCCCTCCATCTCTTTCCTTCCCACTTGTTAAGTTCTGTCCCATCCATGGAGTACTTGTTTCCTATTCTTATTTCCTATATGAAGTACATTTATCTGCCCGTGTGTGTCTCTGGGGGTGGGGGGAGGCTGTGTCAGCTCGGTTCTCTGTGTGTGCATGTCTGTGTGTCAATGTGTGTGTGTCTGCCTCTGGAGCTGTGAGTTTTATGGAAAAAAACACCCAACGATTTCCCTGCTTCCACATGAGACTAAAATTGTTCATATCATCCAGACTTGTATACATATTTAATAAACAAGCTGTAAAATTCCATGTTCCAACCCTAGCCGCAGCCTCAGCTCCAGTCCTAGCCTAGCTCTGAGACACATTATCAGCCTCCACACTCAGTGCCACTGGGTCTTGGCTTCTCAGTGTTGACACTAAACTCCCGTTCAATGGCTTCTGAACCTCAGATCCTGTGTCTGGATTGTGTATTTCACTCTGATCTTTACTCCTCTCAATGTTCATCTCTTCTCCTCAGGCTCCAAATACGCATCCTGATCTTGGCTGGATTTAATGTGAAACTCCTTCCCCTATCTCCTTCTCTATCCAGCTTGTTCTTCACCACCACCAATTTCCTTCCATCCACCACTCCAGTCCTCTCCAGTCTCCACTGGCTTCCTATCACCAGTTGATCGATTAAAAGGTCCTCACTCACACCTAACACCCTCTCCCTGGTATCTCCTTATCTCTCCAACCTCCTTGTACCCTCTTTCTACCCTGCTTACCCTCTCTGCTCAGCTAGATGTTGCACACCCCCCACCTACTCCATGTCCTTACCTCTGAACTAAAAGCCCTATTCAAGACAATGAAGGCAAACTCAGAGAACATTTGTCAGATTGTGAAAACAAGTTACAGTATTTACTCGCCAGGAATTGCCTCTGCACATGGCACAGAAAGTCAGTTAACGCTGCAGCTGTTTTTAGCTCCATATTGAGTTGCTCCAATGTTATAATGAAATGTTCACAAAACTAAAAATCCAGATTCTAATCATCTGCATTAAGCAAGAGGAACAGAAACAGCAAAGAGGAAACATCTGGCATGCATAAGTCTGATAAACTCTTTATTCTCCATATCTTGGACTGTTTCCTGAATTTTGCAGCTTTATGTGCTCCTTCTTTTCTTGCTGTTACTGAGGTCAGTCAACTCTTCTCTTGTTCCTATGTTCTCAAACTCACACATTCTAATAAACTTATCTTCATACTTACATCATCTAAGTGAATCCATGCTGCTCATCTCTATGACAATAAGGGTAATTTCCAGCTCAACTGGTCACACTCTCATCTCTGGATCACAAGGTTGTGGGTTTAAGACCCACGTCAAAGTCTAGGCTGATGCTCTCTTGCTGTGTTGTCAGAGATGCAGCCCTTTGGATGAGACATCAATAATAATAATAATAATCCTTGCAATTTGATACAACGCCTTATCACGTTGTTGAGATGCCTCAGAACATTCACAGAATGTATTGTAGAGTGGATTGACTATATATTTTGTGGCAAAACGCGGCAGCCAATTGCGTAAAGCAGTATCTCACAACAGTTGTGGATTGAGTGACTAAATATATTATAATTTTTTTGGACTGATTATTAACCCCAGAAAGCGATCTGCTAATTAACTAACAACTGGGTTCCTACTTACTGCTAGGTAAACAGAGTCGTGTACGTGGAGTACAGAAACTTGCCTAAGGTTTTGCTCTGCCCAGGAATCAAACCCAGGTCCTCTCGCTTGCGAGGCAAGTGTGCAAACCCCTACGCTACAGGACTCCAGGCCATCCATTCTGCCTGTGCAAGTGAACATTAAAGATATTATTTATATTTATATATCATCTTTCAGAAGGATATCTCAAAGTGCTTTACAATGCTGGCTGGGTACCTGTGTTGGGGGTGAGAGCTGAAGGGGGGGCAGAAAGATGACTGAAAACATAGCCAAAGGGGTGAATCTTAAGTTGGAACTTAAACAAGGGAAGGGAGGCGGTGACTCAGGGGGATTCCAGGGGTCCCAGAGAGTGGGGCAAAATGTAGGGGCCTGAAACCATGAGGGCCCCGCAAGGCAAACGCTACTCCTGTGGGGCCCATAGGGCAAGAACTTGAAGCAGGATGGTGCTCTCGAGGAGGTTGCAGAGGAGGCGGGGTGAGACTTGAGGTATATTATTAGTATTATATGGAAGTGAGAACGAGAATCTTTTTCAGTCTGTCGTCATTGCCAGTTCTTTGTATTTGACAGTGAGATGTAAGATCTGATATCTGGACAAAGACCTTAGGGACCTGCCTAGTTTTACTGTTATTCTGAACGGAAACTCACTGTGAGGAGCTGATTGAGCTAATCTTGTGGCACAAAGGCCTGGGAACATTTCCTCTGGAAAAGATGCTTTTGATTATGAGGAGCTTGGATGAATATGACTCAGATGAATGTGCTGCCAGCTGCTGTTTGGGACTCAGAATCCAACATAGATGCTGTACATAATAATAACAACCCTCACATTGGTGTGCCTGGAGAACAATGTTTCAAAGGGAGAGGGAAGGGGGAGTTTGCTAAAATGTCCTTATTTTCCATATGTATATGAGCTTTCCAACATGAAGTAGATTGACTGTGTATATTGTACGTGAAAAAGGCCTTGCAATGAATGACCAATTTTATTCAGGAGATTGTTGGCGATGACCCCAGGTTAATGTTTCATCTGAACAATTGCACCTCCAACAAGACAGTGCTCTCCCCCACACTGCGCTGTATGTTGGTGGAGACTGTGAGCTCAACATCAACTCGCATTTATTTTTAAAAAACATTTTGCCACCTCTCCCCCAACCCCACCCCCAGCTTGGAGTCAGGCTCCACCACTGTCAAGTGCTCTGAGACTCTACCTTACGTGGAGGGCGCTACATAAGTTGTTGTTGTTGCCTTCATGCGGATAGTGTCTTGGAGAGTTTTGTATAGTTTGAAGCATAAGGAAAAGTGTCCAATTTTCCAGCACTGACATGCGTCAACTGGACAAACACATTTCTGGTAGAGAACAGATTCATCATGTCAGAATTAGCAACAGAATAAGCCTTGTGTTGAACAATATGAAGCAGTTCCTCTTGTAGTTGCTGGGAAATGTGCCGAATTCCTGAGGAAGTGGTTGTCCATGGCAGTCTCTGTGCAGAACTCTGCTCAGGGTCTAAATTTAACTCAACAGAAGACTGTGTCTTTGATGGGACCATTGGGATTTATTATAACAATACACTATTCATAGGTAGTTTAGGTGGTTGAGGAAACCATTGTGTGGTGTCTGGCCTGTCTGCACCACTAGTGTAGCATGGTATCAGGACAGCACTGGCACATTAGTCATTGCCACAAAGCTTGACTTGGCTGTGTGTCAAGTGGATCCATAGAATGGGCTCTCATTGGATTGTTGATGCTCTCACCTCTGACCTTCAGTGTCTCTAACTCACACCTGTTCTTGTTTGGATGAGAAGTTTGTGGGCCCAAACTCCACATCAGGATTTTGAGTTAACAGACCAGGCTGATGCTTCAGAGCAGTCCTGTGAGGAGCAGTACTGCAGTCAGAGGCACCAACCTTCGGATGAGATGGTAATCAAACGTTCCACTGGTTGTTCAGGTGCACGTTAAAGATCCAGGAACACCATTTAAAAACAAAAGTGTGTTTCTATCACAGTCCTGGACAACAGACCTCATATTTTTTGGTCAGTCAGATCAGCAAAAACCCATCCTCTGTGCTTTAAGAATATCCAAACCAGATTGAAATTTCCACATGTCTGCTACCTATAGATGGAAATGTCTTTGTGTCCGGAATAGAATGATCATTCTCTCCCTGGAGGGATGCCCTCTATCTATCTAATTCTGGAGAGTGTTAGGTGCAGGTTGCGATAAGTTCCTCATGTGTCAGACATCCAGATGACCAAAAAACATCTTTGCCTCTAATCCATTCTGTTGCTGAGCTGGGAGTGTAGAGAGATTCAATGCCCAGGTCAAGGAGTTGAAAAGGGGAGTGACATTGTGTACTATGCGCTATATGGAAGGCTTGGTATTTGGAGTCCTAAAGTACAACTATATTTCAGTAATAATTCAGTCCTTCCCTCAACAGCTGTGACCAGTGCAGACAGGAATGACTCATTGTCTGGGAGAAAGCCTGACAGTCTGGCTGCTGATATCTGTGGCACTGACACAGGTGAGAATCCATTAATAACATCTAACAGATGTCTCAGCAGTGGGCAGATGTTTCCAGAGATTCCTGATCACAGCAAAGGCCCCTCACCATGAACTGATTGTTGTCTCTCAGCTACACCCTCTGTGACCTCCTATAATGTTACCAACCTAACTGGTCCCTTCACTCAATGAACACTGAGCAGCTTCATGTCCCGAGCCCGATCCAGCCCAGCATCGACTGCATTCTCTTGGGGACTATACAAATGTAATTTGTTGTTTTTCTTGACTATTTCTATGCTTCTATTGAACACAAAGCAAATAATAATAATAATCCTTGCATTTGATATTGCGCCTTATCACATCTTCGAGACTTCTCAATGCGCTTTACAGAATTATACTGTAACGTGAATTAATTGTGTATTTTGGGGTGAAACACAGCAGCTAATTGTGCACAGTAGTGTCCCATAAACAGTCAATTGGGTGACAAAATTATTATTTTTCTGAAGGCGAGTGCTCTAATCACAACTCTATAGGACACCATGGATTCGGTATGGCAGGTGGGAGGACGGGGTTGTTGTGTGTAAGTGAAGCACGAGAGCTTAGAATTAATCGGTTTCCTTCATTCTGGTAGGCCAATCCAGTTGACATAACAGAACCACCACCTGATGGACACTCAGTTGAATTCCTGAGCATCTCGAGGGGGAAGATCATCGCAGCTCAGTACGAGTGTTACCTGAAGATGCTGAGGGATGAGCCCACCACCAGAGATGGTCTGCCTGTGCAGCATATGCACGTGGAATGTACACATACAAAACATACATATGCACAACATCCGTAAGCAAACATATGCACATAGAATGTACTCATGCAGAATGTGTACATGCTGGGAGCATACAAGCAAGAGAATATATGCATGCAGAACATTTGTTCACAGAACAGACAACACACAGATGTATGCACGCAGAACTTACGCAGGCAGAGCATGTGCACATTGAATGTACACAAGCATAATGAATGTACGCTGAGTGTTTGCAAAGGAATATATGCATATGGTAGATTTGCATGCAGAAATAACATACAAAACATATAGCATGCAGAACATACATACAGAATGTAAGCACACAGAATATACACATTTAAACTGTGCACAGGCAGTCGTAGCATGTACTGTTGTATCGAGTTTGTCCCTGGCTCTGTTCACAGACTCGTATTGTAAACGTACCTGGGATGGCTGGTTGTGTTGGGATGATTCTCCAGCAGCCTCGATCTCCGTGCAACACTGTCCAGATTATTTTCAAGACTTCAATCCTAATGGTAAATCCACCAGCCTGACCATAAGAATCCTTTCTGAAATGGAAGCATTGGGATGGGGCGTTGAGCAAAGAGTACATACAGCTGAATAGAGCAACCATTAAGCTTTAGAGAGCTGTGGACCTTATACAATGTGTCTTGAATGTAAAAGGAAGGACATTATTCAGAGAAATCTAATTAGACTTCATTTTGACTATTGAGTTCAATTTGAGAACTCAACATTACCATCTATGTCAGTGCAGTGAGATTGAATGAACACCGTGGTCGGAGAGCGCAAGAGGCTGAGTATGACCTCAGTAATGATGGTTTGGCTAGAAACTTGTCCAGTCCCAGGGAAGTTAAGGTGATCTGGCAGAGGGATAGAGAATGTAAGAGCCATTCCCACACACCACCCTCTCCCGCACACTCCACTCCTGCACTTACATACCCTCCACAAATACACTGTCCCCCACACACACACCCGCTCACACAAATGCATCCTTCCCCACAGACTCTCCTCCATATATACACACACAGCTACATATGTACACCCTCCCACACATACCCCTCCCCCACACACAACTCCCCCACACCCCACACCCATCCCACTATTCACATGGATAACCCACCCCCATATGTGGGCAACACTTTTACACTGTAATGACTGCTCTGCCATCTAATATGTAGAGGAAGTAACAAAGATTTGTAATGCGGATGGTCATTGGTTCCGACACCCGATCAGCGACCGGACCTGGAGCAACTACACCCGGTGCTCAACCTTGAATGAGGACTATGATCAGGTGAGAGATGTGGCTCCTTGGTGTAATACAGGGTCCGGGGGGGCTGAGTTTGGGGTCCATGGGTGGGGCTGGTTGTGTGGGTAATGGATGATAGCTGCTTCCTCTTAGCATCGTTGTCTTCTTTTCTTGCAGAAAATCTGGAACCTGTATTATATAATAATTATAGGAAACAGCCTTTCCATCGTCTCCCTGTTGGTGGCCTTGGCTATTTTCTTCCACTGCAGGTCAGTTCTGTGTCACATTCTTTATGCTGAGTATGAGAACACAAATAGAAACAAGAATTATCAGCTTATTGGGTGTATAATGTCAGTTTTCCCCACTTCCCTTCATTACTCTCAAATGACAGTTATCTGATGATGAATTATGTCCTGTGATGGGAAGTGATGTGGTTTAAACTGACAAAGCTTTATCTCCAGTTACATTCCATTTTTTTAAGCTGGAGATGCCATTCATATAGAGCCTTTCACGTTGGGACGACGGCTGAAAACGCAGCCATTTGTAAAGATAATTTTAGCTTTACATCAGTTATTTTTGGTTTACTATTCCTTTTCAGAGTTTCTCAAGTCAGGAAAACTCCCCCCCCACTTTCGGTTGGGATGTAGCCTATGATTGATGCTAAGTTAATTCTTTCTCCCAGTGGATTTTGTCCACTTAGCTTCACAAAATGGCATCACTGGATGTGGAATGAAAACTCCTTACCCACCGTTGTACCATTTTAAACATAGCTCCCCCCAGCACAATCCTCCCCTATCCATTGACTTCATGACGTATTTTCTGCATTCAGAAGAACAAAGCTCTGCGCTCGGCTCAAACACACATTGCTTATTCCAGGACCCTCAGCTGCCAGAGAGTCTCTCTCCACAAGAACTTGTTCCTGTCCTACACCCTGTGTGCTGGGGTCAATCTCGGACACTTGTCAGCCATCGCTTACTACCCACAGCTGCAAGACTTGAATTCTGTAAGTTCGCCTGCGATTTTCCTCTTGTTACAAATCTCAGGTTTGTGATTCCTGATCCAGTCCACATGGTTCCCACTCGCCGGGGAAAGTGTGGGCTATTCCATAAACAACTGGTCCAGCAGCAAAGATGGAGAAAATGAATGTTGGAGGAGAGGCACCAAGTGGCTGTTCAGTGAATTACAACAATAATAACAAATTACATTTATAGCGTTTATATTTATAGAATCTGAGGACTTCCCAAGATGCTGTGTAATTGGTATGCAAGACAGTTGAGGGCTTGCACCCGAGCTGGGGAGATTCAGGAGGAATGGGGACCAAGAGGTGAGGGAAGTTGATCAAAGGCATGGTCAGAGAGGAAGATCTTGAGATAATAAGTTGGAAATGATCTTGGGCTGGATGTGGGCCATGCAAACTTTCCCCAAATCCCTTGGTGTCAGAATCTTTGCAAATAATCCCCTCGTGGCACTTTATTAAATACTTTTTGAAAATCCATATAAACCACATTCTCAACGTTTCCTTTCTCCTCTATTGTTTCTTCATAGAATTCTGTCAGGTTGGTCGAGCAATAAGCTGCCTTTTAGAAATCTTCAATGATTGCTGATCAGCTTAAGTTTCAACAAATGCTCAGCATCATTTTATATTCTTGAACACGAGAAACAATGGTGAAAGAGACATCACGTTGCCACTGTTCAGGCCTCTGGCACAATTGTCCACATAGCCATATAATACGTGTCTCTCTTCCTCCACAGGTTGAATGTAAAGTGGTGCAGTTTCTTCACTTGTACTTGATTGGCTGTAATTACTTCTGGATGCTGTGTGAAGGGATCTATCTGCACACACTCATCATCACATCTGTCTTTGTGGAGGAGCAGAAGTTAGTTTGGTATTACATCCTGGGATGGGGTAGGTACACACTTTGGTTAGTTATATCCTGAGTGGGAGGGTGGGGAAGGGTGGAGGTGTTACACTCAGATGTGTTCTATCTGAAGGTGGTGATTTCTGGGTTACCATTGTACAGCCTCTCTGGCATAGTCACTACCTATGTCCTTGTGTTGACGATCTCCAATGTGGAAACCTTTCTATATAAACATTGATTGTTTATTGTTTCAGGGTTCCCCCTCATCCCTGCCATGATATACGCCATCGCCAGGAGTCTGTACTTCAATGACAGGTTCAAGGCTCCTTGTTCTCTCTCCTGTGTTTATGTTGGACAGTGGTGGCAAACTCTTGCTGCTTGAGGCCATTGGGGGGGGGGGTGGGATCAGGAAGCGGGTGTGGAGCAGAGCGGTGGTGGCGGGGGTGTATGGTGGTGGGGCGGAATGGGGTACTAGTGGGTGGGGGCGTGGGCAGGATGGTGAGGGTGGGCGGGTGGGGTGGTCTGGTGGTTGGGACGGGGTCAGGGTGTTTCGGTGGTGTCAGATACTGATCATGTACTTCATTTTCTCCAGCTGCTGGTTCAATGTCGAGACTCCACTCATTTTTGTTATTCACGGGCCCATCTGTGCAGCAATGGTGGTGAGTCAGTGATTTATAGTCTCTGCAATGATTGCCATCGCAATGAGTGGCCACCTTATGGGTCATTGTCACTCCCAGGATGGGAGGTTCCTTCCATAGAAGAAATCTGGGAGAGGTCAGGAGTAGGTACATCACATCAAAGATTATCAGTGTCTGGAATTGATTGCTGTGTGATGTGTACGGTGTGGGTGGGTAAGGTGTGTAAGGTGCAGGTAGGTGTGGGTGGGTAGGTGTGTAGGTGGGTAGGTGTGTGGGTGTGAAACATTGATTACTGGGCTGAGGATCGCAGACTGAACTGCAGCAAATATGCTCAAAACAACAAGAAACACTCCGCCATTGATCAGCTTCACACTCGGTCCCTTCTCAGGATCCCTGCTTTATCTGCCTGAAGAAAATGACCCAAAGGCCTTTAAACGTAGCTCTATGTTAAGGTGTGATACTGAGCACAGCACCCCTTCAGCTGTGTAAGAACAAGCTGTGGATCTGATTGCTCATTGCATAGTCTCTACCAAGTCTTGATGCTTTCACTGTTTTTTCCTCCAGGTCAATCTGTTCTTCTTGTTGAACATTGTGCGTGTGCTGTTCACCAAGCTGAAAGTTACCTATCAGGTGCAGACAAAATCCTACATGAAAGCGGTGCGTGCCACATTGATTCTTGTGCCACTTCTGGGAATCCAGGTTGTGCTCCTTCCTCTGAAACCCAAAGGTCCTTTGAGCAGTGAGATCTTTGAGTACATAATGATCACCTGTGAGCATTACCAGGTGAGCATCAGCAGCAAAGTGTTACCTGGAGCCCAAGATTGTGAACACATGTTCATCTATTCAGATAGAGAGATTTGCAGAATTGTTTTCACACACAAAGTAGATGGGATATGAAATGTTATGTGAGGTGATGTAGTTGAGGCAGAATGCATGTTGGCCTACAAGAGGGAACCAGACAAAAAACTTAAAAGCCACAGTGATCTGGGGAAAGGACACATCAGTGGGACTGAGAGGTCCTTGAGGGAGATGGCCTTCTTTTGTGTCATAAATTTCTATGGTTCTGTTTGGACATATATTGGGAAGCTTTGCAGACAGTGGCAAATTAATCTGTTTTAGTTAAACTCCAGCAATACCCTAACACACACTCAGTGGTCCTCAAACTTGCTTCTTGCCAAACTACGTCAAATAAACTATGAAATTCGGTAAGCAAGGCAAGCATTGCATCCCAGACACGGGAAAATTTCTATATGTATGTGCCAAACATACATGTGTCTAATTTGGATACACTTAAGCATTGTGATGGGTTTCTGGCATTTCTGCATGTGTTGAACACTCTGCTAGTCAAAGAAAAAGAGGTCAGGGGTCACTGTGGCACCTCTCAATAATATTATTGCTACATGTTGTGTTACCAGACACAGGGCGAAACCTCGGGCAAGTTTCCTTACTCCACACAGAGCCTAATAATAATCCCTCCAAAGAACAATAATAAATTGGTCATTTTCAATCTACAACTGTTTGTGGGACATTGCTGTGCGCAATTGGCTGCCGCGTTCGCCCACAAATATACAGTCAATTCACTTTACAGTATATTCTGTGAAGCGCTTTGGGACGTACTCCTGACGTGAAAAGCGCTATATCAAATGCAAGGATTATTATTATAACTATGTTAAACTTTCCTTCCTTAAGGGCTTCCTTGTTGCAATGATATTCTGCTTTTTCAATGGAAAGGTGAGTCTGTGCTTATTGTGTTCAATGTGCTCAGAGGTGTCTCGGACTGGCTCCAGTGGCTCCCTGTTGCAGAACAGATCGATTTCAAGAGTCTCAGTCTCACTTTCAAATCACCTCATGCCTGGCACCTTCCTACCTCTACAATCTGCTCACACCCCACTTCACCACCTGCTGCCTTAGCCACTAGCTTCTGCACATCTCTCCTCTGTTCCACCATTGACGGGCGTACATTCAGACTCTATGCCTCGAATCTCTGGAACTCCATGCCTTAACCTTAATCCCTCCATCATGACCTCTTTGCCCATCCTGAACACTCTACTCTTTGACTATGCCTTTGGTCAACTCCACTCTCTTTTCCATCTCTAGTGTCAAAGATAACGTGCTCTGGTTCTGTGGTTTCCTCAGGTGCAGTTTGCTGTACAGAGACAATGGATCCAGTATAAGGTGCAATGTGGGCTGAATACTGAGCCCACTCACTCGAATTTCAACACCACCTCAGAATTCCCTCGTTTAATGCTCCCACATCCCGACGACAAGCACAGGAATGGCAGAAGCCTGCCTGAAGCTTACACGGCCTCCGAATCTGGGAACGCTGCACAGCCTGAGGCTCAGCTCAGTAAGAAAGCCCAGAGCCACAAATCCTGTTTGTAGATTTCTGCTAGAAAGAAAATCATCACAACGTTAAGAGGAAAATTTAAGATTGTCACAAAAAGAAAAATGACAAAATAAGAATATAAGAATTTGCTGTGCGAAAGGACTATCCAGTTCACTTTCTACCATCCTGGCAGTCGCATGTCATGTTCGATACTATATTTTGTATCCCGAGATGAAATTATCTAATTTATTCTTGAATCAATACCGTCTCTCTAGGGAGCCTGTTCTATACATTTACTACTTTCTCACTGAAGTGGTGTTTCTGCAGATTTGTTCTGTATTCACCCCCCACCCCCCGCCATTCAATCACAGGCCGTGTCCTCTGGGTCTACTATTCAGTGCAACAAAAAATAGCTTATGGTCTATGTCATCTATTCCCTTTAAATCTTAAAGAATGTAATCGTATCACCCCACAACCTTCTCTAATGTGAACAAACCCAGTTTACCAAATCACGCCTCATAGTTAGGTCACTCCATCCCCTCAGTCATGTTGTTTGCCTTGCCTGTTTCCTACAAATTGCTGCGATATCCTTTTTGCATTGCGGTGACCGGAACTGCAACATCAAAAACAAATGACATTTGTATAGCAACTTTCACATCAAGGGGACCTCCCAGCGTGCTGGACAGTCAGGGATCCACACCCGAGCTGGTGGTTGGGATCAGGAGGGATGGCGGGTGGGAAGGTAGGAGGGTCTTGAAGGAATACTTTGAGAAACAAGGATTTACAGTGTGTGAAATATTTTGAGATGTCTTTCTGAGATGAGATGTCTTTCTGAGGTGAAATGTGCTGTATTAAGTGCAAGGATTATTATGTTTGTCTTCTCTAGTGTTTTACGAGAAAGCCACTAAATTGACAAGACAATAGTTCAATAATACCTGTCTTTCACATCGGGAGAACATCCCAAAGCACTTCACAAGACACACTGTAAATCCTTGCTCCTTTTAGTACTGAGCTGACATCGGAGTCAGGAACTTGTGGTGGGATATTAATCAATTTATGAAGAGACGGGAAAATCAGGTGAGTCCAGACCAAAGTATAATTGTTTAATTTTAATCCCAAAGCCTTTATGAAATAAACAATGAAGCAACAAAACAAAAACCTGGAAGCAACTTGTGGTAGTTACGTTGGCACCAAATGTCACTGGGTGTTTGAAACCCTGACATCACCTTCACAAGCTTCACACATTTGCTATAATTATCAGGAATATCAAATAGTTTCATTTATCTGAAAACTGACTTTGGTCACAGCGACTGCCTCATAATCTACATTTTTGGTCATTTGGATCCACATTACAATTGTTAAAGAGTGCCAGCCTGGCTCAGTGGTCGCGCTCTCGACTCTCAGTCACCAGGCTGTGGGTTCCCACGACAGGACGTAGAATGTTCCACTGCAGCGTTGGGGGTGTTCCATGTTGCTGCAGCTGTTGTCCTTCAGATGAAATGTTTAACTGAGTCCCGTCTGCCTGTTCAGGTGGATGTTAAAGATCATGTGACAGTATTTGGAAAGAGAAAGGAGTTTCTCCCGGTGTCCTGGCCAACAATGTAAACTGCATTTACATAGTGTCTTACAAGTCGGGAAAATGACTTAAAGTGTTGGATAGTGAAGGGTTCTGCATTGAGCTGGGTCCCTCACTCTGTGGCTGTTTGTGGCACATTGCTGTTCGCAAATTAGCTCCTGCATTCACTCACTGCAATCTACAGGATTCTTGTGAAGCGCTTTGAGACGTCTTGATGATGTGATAAAGCGCTCAGTCCCATGCAGGGATCAGAAGTGCAAGGATATTGTCACACTTCAGGAAAGCGGAATATAAACACAAGTTGTTATTGTTGTAATGATTTTACTCTGATTCCATTGGCGAACCTGGGGACAACTGGAATGTACAGGATTCTTTGGGGATATTCCACAAGAACAACCCTTCAGAATGAGTCACACCCCTTTCCCCTCCCCACTCTCTCCCTCTAAAGCACTCGTGATCTCGTCGCCAACATTCTCATAGACGCTTTGGAGACCATGTTGTTCTGCTGGTGGCTTCTTATCGGGGACAGAACGTTTCAAACCTGTGTAAAGAACAACAACAGACAGCGATGACCAACGTTCACACACCTTTTCTAGTGATTCCTTCAGGCTCAAAGTCTTGACATGAGTTTTGAAACCACAATAACACCTACAACCCTTGTGTTTCAGATTAAAAAGAAGCTTGTATTTGGATTAGTGCCTTTCACATTTCAAAGTTCTTCATAGGATTTACTGTAAATGTATTGAAAGTAATTGTAGGCAAATGTAACTGTACAGATGTGCACAGAAATGTCCCACAAGCAGCCTTGAAGTGAGGGTTTCATTCTATTTGGGGAATTGTTGGCTTGGACATCAGAAAAAAGTTCCTTGTATTTTCGGGTAGAGACATGCGGTCTCTAACACTTAAGGCGCTATATCAAATGCAAAGATTATTATTATTCAAAGTCCCGACATGGGGCTTGAAGCCACAACCTGCTGACTCAGGGTTGAGGGTATTCCTGCCTGAGCCGACACATCTGGAGGTTGTCTTAAAGCATTTCAGAGTATTGTTTTTGACGCGTAGTGACTGTGTGCGGAGAAAGTAACCACCTGGTTCAGAGGCTATATGGCTACCAACACAGCCACACCACCAGCTTTGCGGTTCACTGTTACCACCTTTTTTGTTGCTGAAAACAGAATGAATTGTTATAAACTAAAGTGGACGTTGCTATCAGTACCTGTAGCTGTTGTCTTCGAGCACAGACTTATCCCAGTCACTACTGTCAGCAGAGAAGCCACAAACACCACAGCTCGTATCCCCAGGATGACTAATGGAGCGAGAATTCCGGGTTCTCCATCTGAAACTGCAATTAGATGGTTTCCACGTTATAAACTAGAAGCTGGCGTGATTAAGGTAAAGAAAAAACACATGGGAACAAGTGAAGTGAATGTATGTTGGGAGGAAAGAACGTGGAGAGGAATTATACCCTGAACATCACAATCCTCAATAAGGTGGAGGAACAAGGATCTCAGGATAAACATGAATATGAAATAAATAGATGCTCATTAAAAGTGGGATTACAGGTGGAAATGGTTGTTAAAAGGGCAAACAGGATTCTGGGGTTTATAGAGAGGTGTATAAAGATTGGGAGCAGATTAGCCAGATTTGGTACAATCAAAATATTAATGTTATGTTTTAAGTGTTGCTCTATCAGTAGCTGAAATGTAGAGGTTGAATGAAACAAATTACAACTGGAAGGAATGGTTTAGACACCTTTCATCGTGGGACAGTGTGTGGCCAGGTCAATGCTCTCAGTCTCCTCACTGACTGGGTTCCTCACTGTACAGTTATACACTGTATTGATAGTGGGAAGATCCAAGGACAGGTGCAGCCTCCTCCCTCGGTGTGTCACTGGGTGTGAGGGGTTTCCGTCTCTCACAACCTCACCTCCTCCTGTCCCCCAGGTGTAAATCACCTCACTGCCCCTCTCCACTGAGCAGCTCAGGGTCACGTTACACAACCCAGTGGAGTTGGTACTGTTCACCTGGATTGTTGGCTGTGACACTCACTCTGTATCAAGATAATCATCACAACCAGACTCAGCAACTGGGCTTCCAGCCTCCCTCCCCCTCCCCCCCCCCAGCCCCTGCGGAAGTTCATTTACTCACCAAAACGTGTAACTCCACCACTTGGTTGCTCACATTTCCTGTTGTTGATATCACAGTCAGGTCATACCTACCCCAGTCTCCCTTCCCCACACTCTGTATTTCCAGGGAATAATCGCTGGTGTTTAATGTGAATCTGTCTCTCGCACCAAAGTAACATGCCACTGGGTTATTTATCAGTTTATCACACGCTACAGTCGTTTCCCCAACTCGGTTTGTAAAATACCAGGTAACACTCTGAGGCTCTGCTTCCGGTACAATTCCCGGTAATTTCACCAACTCTCCCAGAATCCCGTTCACCAGGTGCCCATTCCCACCGGATTGTCCCAGAGCTGGAAAAGTAACAGAGAAACATGTCATCATCACAGCGTTTACCTCAGATTCTGCAGCTCAACCTGTGAGATATCATCACAATCCCCCCCACCCCCCCAAACCCTCCTCACTAAAATATCATCACAGTAACCCTCCACACACTCTGTCTGACTCTGCTCCCAATGTTGTCTCCCACAGACACATGTACCCATTCACTGTGAGGACACCATGTCACAGAGTAAAGACAGACTTACCATCTCTCAGTGTGACCCACAGCAGCAATAACCAGCAGAGAATGGTGCTGTAGGTGGCATTGGAGCCGTGTTTGACCATGGTTGTGTGTAGCACAGTCACTGCAGGCCAGACACTCACTCCCACAGCTCACCAGAGATCTCCAATTATTGTCCGACTCTCGGCTGCCCTGGTCCTCAAGTGAGGAACTTGACAATCGGATGTGGCTGCTGTGGAGCTGTCTCCTGCTCAAGGCTGTTCAGGAAGTGGTCAGTGCTGTCATTTATAAAGAGCTGCTGAACATCTAATAAAAGAATTATAGTGAGATAGGGAGAGCAGTGAATAGATTAGAATATACAGCACAAAAAAGGCCATTCAGCCAAATTGGTCTATGCCGGTGTTTAATGCTCCACATGAGCCAACCTGTGAAAATCACAGGTCAGTGTTCACTGACAAGCTCCTCATCAAAGTGAGTTTTAGATTAATAATCCTTGCATTTTTAAATTCAAATTCGAAATTCAGGATTGAAGTTTGTTTTGCTATTTGTCCAATGGTCACATATATTGGTAAAAAGACAGGGATGTGATTTTTTAATTTCATCTGTAGCTAGTTCAACAGTTTCCAAAATGTTGTTCCCGCTTCTTAATGGGACATTTAATGAAGCTGTTCAAGACTATGAGGGGTTTTGATAGAGCAAGTAAGAAGACATTGTTTCCTAGACAGGTGGGTCGGTAACCAGAGGACACAGATTTATGATAATTGGCAACAAAAAATAGGGGAGATGAGAATTGTTTTTCCCCAAAAAGTTGTTACCATCTGGATGCACTGGGTGGTGGAAGCAGATTTGATAATAGCTTTTAAAAGGGATGACGACCACTAGGCCACTGTGTTGGTTGAGGCAGGGATTGTGACGGAAGGTGTAGCTGGTGGGGGAGGCTTTCATCGGGGGGGTGGGGTCACCAGGTTTCCGTGAGCCCAAGAATATTTATGTGCTCAACCAGGACGAGGTGGTATGGAATGTGAGAGCTTTGCTAGAGAGGGAGCGGACATTTTGGAGGCCAATGCGGATTGGAGTAGTGACGGGGGAGGTTGTGGGTGGAGGGGTTTGGGGGGTGGGGGGTTGTAGAGAAGGTGGGAGGGAAGGTTTAAGTGGGAGAAGCAAAAGGTGGGGAGTAGGAGTGAGGGCGATTAGGGAGGAAGTGGCATGGATCGTGGTGACAGCCAAAAGTGCACGCCGAGACTGGGAGCAGAGCCCAAAGGTAGGGAGGCTGAGGAGGTTAGAGGAGACAGTACAGAGATCAGAGAGGACACTCATAGTGTTATATATTAGGTTGCCCGACCTGGCAATTAATTCATAGAGGGTTAGAGAGTGAGAAAGAAAGGAGAAAAGTGAGAGAGGACAGGAAGGGATGGAGATAATAAAAAATAAAACTATACTTTTTCTGATTTTTTAAAAACTGGCGCAGAAACAATACTAATCCTTGCATTTAATATAATGCCTTATCACATTATTGAGATGTCTCAAAGTGCTCACTGCTCCACCCCGCCCCGACCTCCCTCACACCATTGCCCACCCACCCCACCCCCCCCCCACCACCTCCCTCTCACCACTGCCCCAGCCCTGGCTCCAGCCATGATCCCATCCCCCCTTGTCCAGCAGAGGGCGAGGGGGGACCATGTGAGGATGAGCCCCGCCACACCCCGCAAACCGACTCATTTAATCCTCGCCGTAATCATGTTAAGTCGCGTCTCAGACTTCTCCTGTAAGATCACCGTCTTCCCTGTACTGTTGCTCATCCTATCATCCCGAGGAGGTGAGTGCGTTTGTGATGAATGACTATGTGGGTATTTCAGTTGGAGTCTTAAATCTACTGCAGATTTAATTTAATATTAAATGTAATACAAAGATACAAAGAGAGACAGAGACAGACTCAGGGTTTAGCTGCTGCTCGGCTCCGGATAAGGACAAAGCACGATGTGAGATCTCAGCCCGAAACCGTTATTTTTCTCTCTTTCTTCCCTTTGTTTGCACTTTGTTTAAAATGCTCTTTTTCTTGGGAAATGTAACTGACGTTTCCCCGACTAATTATTTCCAGTTTATAGTCACATCTCAGCCTGACTCGGGTCTGTGTTGGCCCCTCGCGCTGTGACTTTCGCTTCACATTTTATTAACATTAATAAAAATCCTTGAATTTGATATAGTGTTTGGTATTGTCACAAATAATAATTAATGATTAAGAGCAGTGCTGGTTGAGCTGATGGGGTCCTGAGGGCTGTTGTACTGTCAGGGCCATCGCCCTTCCTTCCTCACATTTGGTCTGTGAACTTTCCTGCCCTCCATATCCCTGGCCTCCCATCTCCATCTCACCTTAAAAGCTGCTGAAATCTCATCAAATTCCAGCCTCGACTTCTCAAACGCTCTCCTCCTTGCTCTCCCCATTTCCACTATGGACATGATCCAGCTCATCCCAAACTCCACCGCCCCCATCCTCCCCCAAAACAAACTCCTCACCCGCATCACCCGATCCTCACTCCCGGCTCCACTGGCTCCCTGTTTCTGAAAGGATTGACTTCAAGATCCTCACCTATAAACCTCCTCACGACCAACTGCCTCTTTGACTGAAATTGTGGTCAAAGTGGAAGGTCTTGAGACTGAATCTGAAGGAGGAGGGAAGGGGTGAGGAGGAGGGACTCTGGGATGATGTTCCAGAGAGTGGGAACAAGAAGCCTAAATGTCTGACCACTGATGGTGGGGTGAGCAGAGTTGGGGATATGGAGAGGCCAGTGCCTGCCGGGCGGAGGGAGTAGGTTGGTTGATAGGGTCTTAGAAGGTCAGAAAGGTTAGGGTGGGGCAAACCCCCTGAGGGTTTTAAAAGTGAAGATGAGGATCTTGATCTTCTGGGGATATAGAGCCAGTGGAACCGGGCGACAATGGGGATAATAGGTTCATGGAGTCTGGTGCGAGTGAGGTGGAGAGTGATGTGTAGATTGATGCTGTCAGCGCCTGAGGTGTGGAGGTGCTGACAGGAGCCAAGCAGGAGAGGTTATGTTTTGTCAACATTCAACTGGAGAAAGTTAACTCTCATCCAGGACTTGATGTCCGATAGGCAATCGGTCAGCACAGCAGTGGTCCTGGAGAAAAGGGTGGAAGGAGAGAGTTAGAGTTGGGTGTCATCCGCATACATGTGGAAGTTAATCACATTCTTGCGGATGACATCACCGAGAGGGGAGAGGACGAGGAGAGGGAGCCCTGAGGAACACCACACATGAGGGTGGGAGGAGAAGACGTTGGCATGTCAGGTGGACGCTTCACAGGATATACCATAAAATGGAGTCACTGAGTATTTTTTGGGTGAAACAACAGCCAATTTGAGCCCAATAATGTTCCACAAACAGCCATGAAGTTAATGGATTATTCTATTTGGGGGATTGTTGGCCACGACACTGGGACACAGAAACTCCCTTCACTTCTCAAATAGCACCAAGATACCTAGATTTAATGTCTCATCCAAAAAATGGCAAAAGATATGATTTGATGTATTCTATAATAATAATAATTCTGATTTAAGTTTAGTGCTCATACTCTCAGATGGTCTTCAGAGTGCAATGTGGACTTGATATTTTAGTGAAATTTGGAGTGTTGTTGTTTACTGAAGGAGACAATTGCTGGAGGTGTCGTGCTCCTCTGACCTGCTGGTAGCTACTCCTCTGCCGCTTCCTTCACCCGTTACACGTCCCGGGATCCCTCGCTCTACGCCATCGGTGGCTGCTACAGCCCGTTCCTCTCAAACTCCCTGCCTCAATCCCTCTCCCTTAATCTCGCCCTCTCTCATTCCCACCTGAAGACCGACCGCTTTGACCGCGCCTCTGGTCACCTCCCCTTCCCGCTTCTCCTTTTCTCGGTATGTGCAGCGCTTTGAGGCACTATCCTGCGTGAAGTGCACTGAGCACATAACAAAGAGCCTTTTGAGACTCAGCCTAAAGTTGGTACGGGCCACATTTCTAAGTCCTTTCAGAACAGTCTGTATAATTCCTCAGTTGTTGACTGAAGAAGAAGCGATCCACAAAGAGTCTCCATTGAAACATATAGTGGGGGCTGGGACATACGATGGGGATTTGTTCATTGTTGAGTGATCTAGGCTCCTCTGTGTCCTACGGGTTCTTCAAAAAATAACCAGGGACTTCCCTCCCTCGCTGTTATTTCCCTTCTTGTTCCCCGAAGCCTCCACTAAACAGCAGCAGCCATCTCATCGTCCCTCATCAACCCGGCACTGATTAGCCTTTGTTTCCATAACAACATTTACGTCACTGGTTTCTGAAAACTCAGTAATGCAATTAAAGCGATTTAGAAGCAGATTTCTCCTGTGATCATCCGGCAGACGCTGATTACAAACACATGAATGTGAGGAAGGATGATTTATGGAATAAATAAAAAATGCAGAGAATTGCAAAGGATGTCTCAAAGTCATAGAGTCATAAACACCAGAGAAACTGACAGCATGATTGAGATATCCTCCTTATGGCAAAGGCCCCAGATAAATGTGTGTTGTGGAATATGCGGACATGTGAGTGTTCAGGAAGGATGAGATCAGATGGGCTGAAGGGGGCCTTCCTCATCCAGGCTCCTCGTGTGATCTTGTCTGTAGGACAGTGACCACGAGGCCTGGTGGCTGCTCCTCTCAGTGACTGTGCAGCGATGGGGAGTGTGCGTGTTGCTCTGAGCTGCTGAGGTTTTTCTCACCTCTCGCCTAAACCAGGAGAATATGTATATCGCCTCAGGTCTGCGGCTGCACTGTAACTGAGGTGTCAGGCTACAGCAATAGATAAGCTTGAGCCACAGGACCAGCAAGAGAGGCTGTATACAAGTCCCTCGCTTTTCACTGCACCACATCCGAGACCTGGCCTGAAATCATTCGCTTTCAGTATTTGCAGGGACACCTCACTGGCTGGTCAACACACGAGCAGCAACTTGTTACACGGTGAATAATAATAATATTCACATTTGCTGCAGCGAATTTCACGTCATGATAATGTCTCTAAATGCTTCACAGGATTTACTGTAAAACTCTCACAAGTCGCATCATTCGAGATCATAAAATTTAATACAATTAAATCCGCATAAATCTTATCTTTATAAATCGTATAATCGCTTAAGTTGTAGTTTCATATCAAAACCACTTAGATTTCTTTGCACAACTCGAATTACTCACCTCCTAACTTTTATCACTGATCCCCTACCCTCCATCACTCCCGCACTTACCGACTGCATTGAATTACGGGAAATTACATCCTTACCCATCACCACATGCACACTTACTGCTGCACTGCACTCAAACCCACCACCTGCTCCCTCAATCCCATCCCCACCTCTCTCCTCATCTCCCAGCTCCACCTTCTGGCCCCCCCTCCTGTCCGATGTCATCAAGCTCTCCTTGTCCACGGGTTCAGTTCCCACCCCCCTAAAAACAGCTGTCATCACCCCCATCCTGAAAAAACCTTCCCTGGATCCATCCCTCCTCTCCAGCTACTGTCCGATCTCTAACCTGTCTCTAAACTCTAAGGTCCTGGAATGAGTCCAAGCTCTGCTCCTTTCTCTCTCGCCATTCCCTCTTTGAACCCATCCAATCCGGCTGCCCACAGCACGGAAACAGCCCTGGTCAAAGTCATTAATGACATTCTGAACATCTATGACCAGGGTTCTCTCTGCCTCCTTGTCCTCCTCGAACTCTCTGCCGCCTTCAACACTGTCGACAACTCTATCCTCTCCGCTTTACTCAATCTTCATGGACCTGCCCTTGCCTGATTCGATTCCTGTCTTTCTCACGGTCTCCACTTCGTTGCCTCTAACAGTTTCTCCTCCAGCCCCCACACTCCACACTGTCACATCTGGTGTCCCCCAGGGCTCTGTCCTTGGCCCTCTCCTCTTTAATATCTACATGCTCCCCCTTGGTGACATCATCCGCAGACATGGGGTCAACTTCCACATGTATGCGGATGACACCCAACTCTATTTTTCTGCCTCCACCCTCATCTCCAGGACCACTGCTGTCTTGACAGAGTGCCTGTCAGACATCAAATCCTGGATGAGAGCAAATTTCTTACAGTTGAATGTGAACAAGACTGAAGCTCTCTTGATTGGCTCGCACCAGTGCCTCAGCACCTCAGGCTCTGGCAACATCAACCTCCATGGTTGCACACTCACCAGCCAGTCAGGAACCGAGGTTCTTGTTCGACCCTCAACTGTCTTTTCTCTCCCACTTTCAAGCCATGACCTGCTCTGCCTTCCCTCACCTCCGTAACTCTGCCACTACCTCACCCCTCAGGCCGCTGAAACTCTTGTTCATGCCTTCATCACCTCCAGGCTCGACTATGAAAACTCCCTGCTTATCGACTTCCCAACTCCTCCCTCAACAGGCTGCAGATAATCCAGAACTCTGCAGCTCTTGTCTTCTCCCGCACCAAACTCCGTGACCCCATCTCCCCCACTCTCGCCCAACTCCACTGGCTCCCTATCCTTCAGAGGATCCAGTTCAAAATCCTGGTTCTCACCTACAAAGCCCTATATAGCCTCACTCCACCCTACCTCTGCGACCTCCTAACCCCCTACCAACCCTCCCATTCCCTCCACTTGACTCTGGTCTGCTCCACGTCCCCCGACCCACCCGCCCCACCATTGGTGGGAGAGCCTTCAGCCACTCTGCCCCCAACCTCTGGAATTCCATCCTCCAGTCACTTTGCCTCACCCCCTCCTTGGCCTCCTTTGGGTCCCGCCTCAAGACCCTCCTCTTCGACCATGCCATCGGCCACCTTCCCC